CTCTCTCTCTCTCTCTCTCTCTCTCTCTCTCTCTCTCTCTCTCTCTCTCTCTCTCTCTCTCTCTCTCTCTCTCTCTTATGTTAGTGGAGTCTCGACAAACTGATTCATCCTGTCGTCCAATCCCACGTATGTCTCTGTAGTCTCGACCAATGAGACTGCAATGAATCTGAACCGCATTGAGGCACGCATTGCCCCTCATCAAGCTACTCGGCGCCCGCGACTCCCTGTACCCTCGTCGTTATCGGATGCACGATCCCTTGCAACGGTTCATCTCGGAGTTGTGGTGCGGACAATCTGCAAGCATTGCTGCGAAAGTCAACGCCGAGGCCCACACGAAGCAATGAACTTGGCCGAGAAATCCTCTTCATTGCAAACAAAATATGGCGCACTTATAACAAGCCGCCACACACCGTCCCGATAAACAGTGTCGTAGTGTGTTTCCAGTATACGAAACACAAGCGGGTAGACAATATCATACATTTTATCTTCTTCGACAGGATTCAGAACGAGGTTATTGAAGTACGAAGTGGGCCTGGACATGAGCACCCGAACGTGGTCGATGGCATGATGATGAATGTAAGTCTCTGTTGTGAGTCTTATGACTCGTTCGTCTTCCACGACGACAACAAAATGTCGATTCTCCATTTTGTGCCTGTCTTTGTACTCCAACACCTGTTCGACAGGCTCGGTAACCGAGTTTTGTGACTCGTAATAATATACGTTCTCGCCCATACGGAGTTTCGTTGAATGGTAGCATTGGAAAATCATTGGCGCCAACCGCATAGTCGTTGCTTGCGAATGGGGATTCGAGGAAGCTGCCGAACACACAAAGCTTTACCGTAAGCAACAGAGCAACGGATTTGCATGATACAAAGGTCAGGAGCACAAGGCGTGTCTTCTTCTTCGATCAACACATCTTCTTCTTATTTTTCTTAATCTTTTTCTTCTTCTTTTTTGTATTCTTCATTTTCTTTTTCGACTACTTCTTGTTCTTATTCTTATTCGACTACAAAGGTCAGGAGCACAAGGTGTGTCTTCTCGCGTCTCGTGATTGTGTGTGTGTGTGTGTGTGTGTGTGCGTG